TCTTCACCTGAAAGTTTCTCATGCCCTGCACAGCCTCTTGAATGCAATCCCGGCATGCACCTTTCCTATCATCTCCCTCACCCACATCATACGGCTGGACCCTCAGCCCACGCTCATGGAAGTCCGCACGCCACCATCTTACTCAAATTAGATCCAGAGCACCCCCAGCTTCTATCTGCTCCTCACCACAGACACCCACCCGAACCTTCCTCAACACTTCACCCAGAATCCACTTCCTCTCCCAAAACAGAACCAGAACCTTTCCTCTCTCCTTTCTCTCATCTGATATTGCTAAAAAATCAACCCCACCCTGGCCTGTTTTCCCAGCCTGTGGACTCCCAGCCTGCATCTTAGTTGGGAGGACTCCTTGTCCCCCAGTTCCTTCACTCACACCTAACTTCTCTGTTCACTCACTGTTCCTGGGGACAAGCTCCAAATTTGTCTCAAAGGGCCTTCTCATTTCCCTTCTCACCAAACTGCCTTCAGAAACTAGCCCACAAGTGAAGGAAGCCAGGCTGATCAGGTATTTGCTCTCAGGGATTTGGATATTGAACTGAGAAATAAAAAGACCGAAAAAAGATTTAAAACGAACAAACAAAAAACAACTGGAGATTAGCACTTCCACTGACATGAGTAGGGAGATATTATGTTACAGGCATTATCCCCTGCCACCACTCCACATCCAGGCCCTGTTTAATTACCATGTAGCATCACTGCCCACCCCTCTCTGTCTCAAGATGAACTAACATGAGATTAGTCCCAATCCCTTGCTTTAAAGTGGCAGAAGGAAAGAGGAAGAGAAAGTGTCTCTGGTAGGGACAGGCCTGGTGCCTGCTGGCTGCCCCAACACAACAGCTCAGGGTGCCCGCTGGGCCAGTATGTAGGTGAAAGGTGACAGCGTTCACTTGCCAATCCCAGAGGCATCCAGGCAGGCCTGGGCCCACTGGGAGATGAGATCAGAGTGAGTGTCTCCATTTTCCCATGGAACAAGCCTCCACTTTCCACCGCAGAGAAAGCTGTAGGGATCCCGGCTGCATACAGTATGGTTCTCCACCCGTGAATAATCAGCAACCAAGCGGATGCCCCTCAGGCCTCTGTGGCCTCAGTTATGAATGGAGAGTTAGACCAGATGAGCGGGGAGAGTGCTCTTTCTGAGCGTTGAGGAGGGTAACGTGTTAACCTTTGCCGCACATTTTGGTGTCCTACTCGGTGAAAAGCCTGAGCTGTAGCCCCGGTTCAGATTCCAGATCGGCAACTCCCTAACCTCTGGTGACTCGTTCACGCCTTGAGCCTTGGTTCTCTGGGAAGCAGGCACAGCAGTACATGGTTCCCAGGTTCCCTGCCGTGTGCACAACAGCAGGAGACACGGCCTGGCCCTGTGCCATCCTCACTGTTGTTGGTATCTTTGAGCCCATTGTTACAGCCCCTATGTCAGTCCATCTCCCTGGGGTCTTCCTCTCCCCCTGCCCTCCCACTCTCCTTTTCCGAGGCTGGGCTCCCATGTTAACATGCCCAAAGTACCGGAAAGAAGGCTCAATATCTTCGTTTCTAAAGAATTCACTCTGGTTGAACTTCTTTCAAGACATGTGGGGGGAAGTCAGATCCTTGCTGCCAGACTGCTGTCTCATCCCACCACAGGGGTGGGCCTGCTCCTGCTGCTGGGGACAATGGACAGGCTCCTGTGGGCGGAGTTCGCATCCTACTGATAATGGTCTCTATCAGTTGGGCCAGGGACAGGCCAAACCTGCTGTCCCTCCACTTCCTGTAGCGTATATGTCCCTAGATCACCCCTTCCCATCACTGTAATACCTGTAGCACAACCCTTTCCTGTGATGTATGTCTTCACCTGTAATGTGGGGGCTTGAACGTCCCCAGAGAGTATAAAAGCTTGGGGAGCATTAAAATTCTCTCTCTCTCCACGTGGATTACCAAGCAGGGCTGAGGTGAGTAATGCTACCATGAAATGTGTCTGACTCCATTTATTTCTATATATCTCTTTTATCTCTCATGCTCTCTATAACTTTACTATAATATTTACTTATTATCGCTGTACAATTGCGCCTACCGAACCCGTAGTGATTGTGCTAGGAGCTGGCTTCTTCTGGCAAAGACAGACTTGTTTGTTTTTCTGACAGGTACTTTCAATATTGTGAGAATAGGGGAGATAAGCTATCAGACCTTTTTAAGTATATGAAACCCAGGATGGGTGAACCCATAGAGACAGCAAGTAGGGAGTGTGGGAAGTAAAGGGAGCTGATATCAAGGAGTTCAAGAAGGAAGAGAATGTTTTGAAACTGATTGTGGTAGCAGTTGTACAGTACCGCTGGCTGTGACTGGCCTATAGAATGATAGGGTATCTATATTACCTCCCAATAAAAGGTTTGGGAATAAATAAATGAAAGATGTCAGAGAGAAGGAACAAACAGTCATAATCACGTGCCTTTGTAGTAATGAAAATCCCAGAACACTCAATTGTGGTTATGTGAAACGTGTGCATAGACCACGCACCAGCCAGTCATGTAAACCCAACACGGGATACTGAGTGATTTCACATCAGGAAAAGTGTGTATCGGGGTTAGGTCCTTCCACCGTACTTACTCAGTGTGTGCTGTGCTGACCACATAATCTGTACAGCTGGTCTGAATGAAGAACGCAGCAGCAGGATTTGAGGGAGACGCATTACCTGTGTGCGATACGCAGATGACGCAACCTTGCTTGCTGAACGTGAGGAGGGCGTGGAGCACTTACTGTTGAAGACGAAAGCCTAGCCTTCAGTGTGGATGAAAACTCCATAAAGAAAGCAAAAATGCTCAAAACTGGATAAACAGACAGCATGGTAAATAGGGGAAGGATAGAAATGGTCAAGGATTACACTTTACTTGAATCCACCATCAATCAACTCCCATAAGAAGCAGCAGTCAAGAAAGCAAACGACTTATTGCATTGGGCACACCCACTGCGCAAATTTTCCTTAAAGTGTTAAAACCCACCGGTGTCACTGTGCAGACTGCACCTGACCCGAGCCGTGGCACGTCACTCACCCCATGCGCATATGGAAAGTGGGCGTTGGAGAAGGAAGGCATTCGAACCATGGCTCCAGGGAAGAATCAGACCGTGCCAGAAGTGTGCCGCGCGACACACTGCAAGCAAACAGTGCGCAAGTACAGCCAGCGTGCTCCCGAGACGCGAGACTTAGTTTCAGGTTATCAGGAGGCATTGATCCGTCCCCAGAGAAGGACAGTGGGCTTGGTAAAGCAGAGAACAAGAGGACGACCCTCCCTGAGAAGGACGGGCACAGTGGCCGCTGACAAGGGACTCACACCGAGCAGTGACTGTGGGGACCGTGCAGGCCCAGGCAGCCGTTCCCTTTGAGTGTCCGTGGGCTCCCTGTGGATCAGCATGGACTCAACGGCTCCTAACAAAACATATTTCGATACAAAGAGCCCTTATGGCTCAGGCAGTTAATTGTCTGGCTGCCAATCACAAGGTTGGCAGTTCAAACCCCCCCAGTAGCTGGTTTCTGTAAAGATGATTGCCTTGGGAATCATTGGGCACATCCACTGCACTCTGTCCTGTGGGGTCGCTATGAGTCAGAATCACTCGACAGCATATGACAGCAGTGTAGGTAGCCTGCACTGTTAACCTCAGAATCTGAAACTGCACCCCTAGAGGATACCAAGGGTGCTTGAGCCGCACACACTCTTCTATATTGTGGGTAGATTTGATAGGTAAACAGATAGCTGTAATGTAATAAGTGGTGAGCAGCCTGCTGTGGTGGTTAAAAGGACGGGACAGGAAGGAGTGAGGGAGACCCCACTTGAACCCTCGCTTCTTATTAGCTCCACGGCGGGGAGCAAGTCATCCAACCTCTGCTGCTGCTTCCTGATCTGGGCAGGAGAATGGAAAGGGGACTTTCCTCTCAGACGCGTTTGGCACAGTGAGCCTGTGTCTCTCTCGCCTAGCTCCTTTTGATGCCGAGTGCATCGTTCGATATTTTGCCTGTAGAATCCTTCCACATGGAAACTCGGAGCCGGAGTTTTTCTTCTGCGCCTTCAGTTTGAAGTATGCTGAGCACGTGCTTCCCCTCTGGTCGGCTTGTGCACATTTCATTATAATGCTTTGCCTTTTTCGTCTTCGGGCTTTTCTCCTAGGGCCGTGGCTGAGAACACAGGTTGAGAACCGCTGTCCTAAGGGGTAAAAATTCATTTGTTCTAACTAAGGGTAGAATTCAATCAGTGTTGACAAAGTCTTAGGGAGCCAAGGTGGCCCAGCTGGTAAGCACCCGGTGGCTCACCGAAAGGTTGGCATTTCACATCCACCCAACGACTCCTGGCAATCTGCTCCTGGGAACCCCTCGGCAGTCCCGTCCCGCCCCCCTCCCCTGGGAACCCCTCAGGCAGTCCCGTCCCGCCCCCCCCTCCCCTGGGAACCCCTCGGGCAGTCCCGTCCCCCACCCCCACCCCACCCCCCATGCGGGGTCCTGTGAGTCACGTCACCGTCACCTGCACGCTGCCGGCAGGAGCAAGAGCGCTGCACCACCAGCAAGCACTCGATCTGGGCAGCTTTGCTTTTTCCCAGTGTGAATGAATTAGACAGGTACTAATTCAGTATATGGACTTGATCTGTAATGAATTGAAAAATGTTTTTTTGCCTTTTATTATTAAAAGATCATTTTGTTGGGGGCTCTTACTTCTGTAATTTAAACAGGCCACACATCAGTTGTATCAAGCACATTTGTGCATGTTGCCATCATTCTTTCCTAGACACTTACTTTCTGTGGAGCCCTTGGTGTCAGCTCCTCTTTTCTCCCTCCCTCCCCAGTGCATTAAAAATTACGCTTAGACTCTAAAATAGAGTGCACGTGGGCATTGAGATAAGTAATACGTTGGCTCTGATTTTCTCACTGGCTTCCTGTTGTTGTTACTGTTTGGGGGGTGGGGTTCATTCTCTAGGAATCTGTATTTGTTTGCGTTGTGAAGCTAATGAACCTCCGCAGACCCCCGGTGCTGACTTTGCTTTTCTCCGCAGGCTGCCCATCCCCAAACTGGAAGACACTCTCAGGAGATACCTCCTGGCGCAGAAGCCGCTCCTGGATGATGGCCAGTTCAGGTAACACGGAGGAACCTGCTGGACCACAGTTGGGGTGGCTCAGGAGAGGCAGGCAGGAGTGGTGGCCCACGCCTCAGGGAGTCCGTGTGACTGGACTGGGTCTTTAGGGACTTGGAGTTCTGTGTCTAGACCTCATCTTTGTACCCACTAACCGTATGCAAGTTCAGGAGATAGATGTGTGCTGCTCAACAGGAGATACTCATCTACGGGGAGGCTAACTTTGGGCTTCACGTGGACAGATAAGTCCCATTGAGGAGATCAGATGGCGAGCCAGAAATCTGAGCACAGAAGTAGAAAAGGACCTTGGATAGGCTCAAGAGAGGATTGCATTAAGCCTTCATAGCCTCCTGATCTGTCAGGGGGCTTCTTGGCACAGATATCTGACTTGTGATTAGAATTGCAAAAGCCTTCCCAGGACAGTGATGGGAAAATATAGATGAACTGTTCATAATCTACCCTGTTTCCCCAAAAGTAAGACATCCCCCGAAAATAAGACCTACTCACAGTTTTTCCTCTCGCTGAAATATAAGACATCCCTCGAAAATAAGACCTATTCACAGTTTTACCTCTCGCTGAAATATAAGGCATCCCCCGAAATAAGACCTCCCCGATAATAAGCACCCCCCACCAGCTACCGTAACTCTGGACTCTGGACTGTAGCGGCAGGCGCTGCCCCGCAGCTCACTGATGGTTACAGCGCAGCCAGAGCAGACAGGAAGTGCGAGGTCTCTTTTAATAAAACAATAAACAATCAATGTGTACCATATTCTTCTTCATGGAAAAATAAGACATCCCCTGAAAATAAGACCTAGCGCACCTTTGGGAGCAAAAATAAATATAAGACACTGTCTTATTTTCGGGGAAATAGGGTAGCTCTCTGCTCTTAAATCCACACACACACACATACCCCGCCCCTGCAAGCAGGCATTTGAAACCTCCCTTGATATGGCCGTGAATGAATAGCTGCCATTGTTAAGTGTCCCCAAATTTGGATGAGCCCTGGTGATGCAGTGGGCTAAGCGTTGGGCTGCCAACCTCAAGGTCTGTGGTTCAGACCTCCCAGCCACTTCATGGGAGAAAGATGAGGCAGTCTGCTTCTGTAAATGGAAAGCTTCTGAGTCCATTCTGCGCTGCCCTGTAGGGTCGCTGTGAGTCCGAACTGACTTGATGGCAGTGGGCTGAGTTTGGCTTTTGTTGTCAAGTGAGTGCTGTGTTTCAGACGGTCCTGAACCCTCAGCCTTATAACTGCTCGTTTCATCCTGTAAGGTGGTCTGAGCTCTGTTTTGCATGTAAAACCCCGGAGGCCCAGCAACATCCTGCAACGTGCCCAGCACGCACAGCTCCTTTGATTCTCAAACGCATGCCCTCTCCTCTATTACAGCGGCTTCTCGGGCTGCAGATTGTTTTCGGAGGTGTTGATTGATCTTCCTGAAGCTATTCTAGATATTGGTCACCTTAGTGGTTCTGATTGATGGCACCTTCCAGTGTTCCAGATTTGGGGGCTGTGCTCTTGGGCATCTAGAACTTCCATGGAGGGTTCTTGGCCATTGCCTGCCTATCATATTGTCTCTGCCCCACCTTAACCCTGTCTTTCCGTGGACACTGTAGGAAAACAGAACAGATTTGCAGGCATTTTGAATGTGGGAGTGGAAAAGAACTGCATGAGCAGCTGGTTGCCCAAGACAAGAAGAATAAACACACAAGCTACATCTCAGGTAGGTTGGGCTATGGGCGAAGGAGCACTCGGGCTATGGTGCCCTGTGGGTTAAGCATTGGGCTGCTAACCAAAAGGTCGGCAGTTCAAACCCACTAGCTACTTTACAGGAGAAAGACGAGGCAGGCTCCTCCTGTGAAAGATACCCTGTAGAGCAGGTCTACCCTGCCTTACAGGGTCACTGTCAGTCCGAATGGACTTCACAGCCGTGGGTGGGCTGTGAGTGTGATTCCCCCACCCCCCGAGTTTTCTGTAATGGAAATTCTCACGTGTTTGGTCTCAAAAATATTTCTGACAAGCCCAGCTTTGAAGTAATGTCTCATCTTCTCTTCTTGAAGTAAATATTAAGGCCGAGTGGGTTTCCCCGCTAAGATGTAGGCTGGATAGAGTACATCCGAAAGAACACTGGCTGGCCTTCTCTGGAGGCAGATCAAACACGTTCTCTGGTCGAGAATCCTGTCAGTGGCTCTCTGTGGGACGGACGCAGGGTTGGGTCCGATGTCCTGTGCGTGCATCATTCTTGCCCTTGACAGTTGCCCAACTACCCTCTGCAGCCCCTCCCCTGACACACCCTGGGCTTCAACAAAACCCAATTCTGCCCCACTCCTTGAACCCAGAATTTCACATTCATTCTCTGAAACCCGGGCAGGCGGGTTTTTCTAGGAAACTGTCCCAGGTGGTCTGTGTTGTTCTCACAGGACGTCTTTGATTTGCCTGTTGACGGTGTGGCTCTGCACGGTTTCAACCAGCGTTCTCAGCCTTCCGCATGCCGCCACCCTTTCATGAGCTCCCCCCAACCATAACATTTTCGTTGCTACTTCTTAACTGTTGCTACCGTTATGAGTCGGGTGACCCCAGTGAAAGGGTCATTCAACCCCCAAAGGGGTAGCGACCCACAGGTTGAGAACCGCTGGTTTAAATGATCCTAGTCAGCACATGTGACTTTCCTAGCAAGCTACTCAGTTTTGTCACATGGAAATACGCAGCGCACACTCGGCGGCTGGTATTCAGCAAAGAACACTGCGGGGGTGGGGGTGGGGGGGCTGCTGTGAAGGAAAAGCCGAGGCTCTTCTTAGGAGACCAAGGCACGTTGAATCTTCGTAGCTGTAGAGCTGGGAAGTCACAGGCAGCCGGTGTTCCTGCCACGACAAGCCATCAAGGGCAGCAGGTCACTTTCAGGTGCTCAGTTGGGTCCCCCATGCGCAGGTGATTCAGGCACAAGTCTGGGCTCCTGCGTGGTAACTGTCCGCTAAGGCCGAGTGGTGGGGCTGGACCCCTGCTTGAGCGCAGGCTGCGTTTGCCTCTCTGGAAGGACTACCCTGTAGAGGGACAGAGGCCGGACTGAGGCTGGTGTGCCTTCTTCACAGTGCCGGCTCTCCTAGGTCTGTACTGTTCCCCCCCCCATTACTGTGCTGTTAGTGCTGCCCCACTCATCCCATTAGACCTCTCTGTGTTCTTGTGCATAGCTAAGATCATTTGATGCGTGAAATCCAAGATAGATAAACCCTTCAGAAATTGTAACGGGAGTAATGATTCCCTGAGGGGACAGAAAGAGAGGAGTGGGGAAAGGGGAAAGGGGGAATTGTTAGCAATAATGACTTTATAACCTCACTGGACGGGAACAAATAACACAATGGCAGGTGAATGAATACATTGGATGGAGTAAGATATGGGGGGAAGAAAAGAAATACAATGATAATAATATTTAATATAATAACAAGGGTTCTTGGGGGGGGGAAGAGGGAAGGGTAAGGATAAAGGGGAGCTGATATCAAAGAGTACAAGAAGAAAGAAAATGTTTTAAAAATGATGGTGGCAACAACTTTACAATCATGCTTGATCTAATTCACTGGTTCTCAACCTTCCTAATGCTGTGACCCTTTAATACAGTTCCTTATGTTATGGTGACCGCAACCATAACATTTTTTTATTGCTACTTCATAACTGTCATTCTGCTACTGTTATGAATCGGGTGACTCCTGTGAAATGGTCAATTGACCCCCAAAGGAGTCATGACCCACAGGTTGAGAACCGCTGATCTAGTTGAACTATGGATTGTTATACCTGTAGGAGTCCCAATAGAAATGGGGGGAAAGGAATATCATTACATTATTTATTGTTGTTGTTTGTTTATTTTTAATTTTTTGAAAAATTTAAATTAAAAAAATTTTTAATCATTTTATTAGGGGCTCATACAACTCTTATCACAATCCATACATCCATCCATTGTGTCAAGCACATTTGTACA